AAATCTAAAAAAAAAAAAAAAAATTTTTTTTTTTTTTTAAATTAATTTTTTATTTTTTTTTTTTTTTTTTTTTTTTTTTTTTTTTTTTTTTTTTTTTTTTTTTTTTTTTTTTTTTTTTTTAATTCCTTTAATACTTTTTATTTTTATTTTTTTTTTTTTGAATAATAAATTTATTATTTTATTATTATTATAATTCGATCTTTTACAAAATAGGCACTTCATGATGCTAATTTGTCAGAATATGAGACATTCATAAAAATGCTCTTATCACTTAAGATGTATAAGGCAGAAAATAAGGAAAATGTTAAAGAATTAATTAATGTTTTTGTCGAATCAATTGCTAGAAACGATGAAGTTTTTGATGTAAACAATTTTTTTTACCTTTAATGTTTGAATTTTAATAACCTTTTGCTGGTTATTATTATTTTTATTTATTTATTATTATTATTATTATTTTGTTCTTTGATTATATTATAAAATATGAGTTCACCCGTTTTATTATTTATTTTAGCCTAATAACCATATAAAAGTTCAAAAGCTTTTATTATGTGGAAAAACACTAATACCATATTTCGAGGTATAATTTTTGTAGAAATAACGAAAAAAAAACCCCATTTAATATAATTTTTAAGTAATTTTTTTTTAAAAATGGCGGACAGAAAGGGATCAAGAGTACCACGTTCCTCGCATTTCTCGTGAACAAAGTTTTACCCAATGATACATTTTACAAATTGCAAGAAAAACAACAGAAAAGCATTTTACGATTTTTAGCAGATTGTATTAGTGGGAAACATACGGAGGCGACGATCAAAAGTGCGGCTCCATTAGTTAAGGAATTATTCATTGTATGTATTTATTATTTCTTTTTTTTTTTTTGTATTCAGTTTTCAGTTTCAGTTTCATTTTTTATTTTCTCGTATAAAAATTATAATATATGTTCATTTGGTTTTTATTATGAAATAGCGTGAAATACCCTCTCCACCAGAAAATGACAGTGAAGTAGAACCGAAATTGGATTTACCAAGGGTTGAATATATTGTATTTACATTATATTGTATTGCATCCAAGGTTGGTTCTTTCTTTTTTTTTTCCTCTTTTATTTAATAGACTTATAAATTAATTCTGATGTCAAATGTCAAATGTCAAATGCAGATCCCGGAGGTTGCTGAAGGAGAGGAAATTTCTTCACGGTTGGTTAAAAAAAATTATTTTAATAACAATACAAAATAATATTATAATCAGTGTTTGAAATTCAAATTTTAAATCCTGTGCGAAATATATACAATTTATAATTCTATATGCAAAAATTTGTGTGGATGCCTTTTTTTTATGTGTAGAGTTTTCAAATTTTGGGCTAGCGCACATTTCGCACATTTCGCACATTTCGCACATTGAATTTCAAACACTGATTATAATAATTTTATAATTATAAAAAATAATGTTATAAAATAATATTATAATAAGACGAGACTAATATAAAATGAAAATATGTAAATATGTGTGTAATACAGGTTTAAGAACCTTTATGTCATTTCTCAAAAGTGCATTGCTCGAATTAAACAAGGTTTGAAAGATTTACAAAAACGGGAGCTAAAGGATCAAGAAACCCAAGAGGTAAACATCAAGTTACTTAACTATTGAATGATTATCAATGCTTATCCGTTTAATTGGTTTTATTTTATTATTTTTTTTTTTTATTCACGATTGCACTTTAGAAAATTAAAAAAGCAGAAGGCGGCCAGATTGTGACGAACAATATATTAAATATGACAAAGGTAAATATGTTGTCACCGTGTATATATGTGTGCATGTGTAAATACGTATATGTATGTGTGTTTTTATGTTCTTTTTCTTTCATAGGAATTGATGAAGCCTCCGAAAGCGAGACATTTCACAAAGATCCATCATTCCTGGCAATCTTTAACTCCAAGTAATGTTGTACCAGCAAAACGTCCTGCTGACTCCAGTTTACCTGTTACGTCAAATAAAAAAGTTCAAATAGGTGAAAGTCAATTGATTACCAAATCTCCTCAAAAAATCAAGCAATCTTCAAAAGGGGTGGGTGCCCCTCGTACAATTCAAAATCGTCAGCAGTTAAATACTTCTAGAAGTAGTGGTATAAATAATAATAGTTTTAGGAGTAATGGAGGAGGAGGAAGTCCTGGAAGAATTTCCAAGATCAATAGGAACTATGCAAAGACCAATCAACCGAATTTATATGTCCCTCCACCAAGAAGAGGTATGTGATTGTATCTTTTTCTTTTCTTTTTTTTCATTGAATTTATTGGTTTAGTTTCTACTCTCACTTTTGTTCCGTGTTATTCCACAATTTAGAATGACAGCAATCGTCTTTAATTAATTTTTAGTGTAATGTAACTTCAAGTAAAAAGAATTTTGTTTGAATTAAATATTTATAATCTTTTGTACGATTTAACTTCAAAGCTTAAAGGAATTTCTAATGCATTTTTTTTTTATTATTATTACGATTAGAATATACATTAGAATTGAGATTAAATATGACAATAAATTCTGTTAAATTTACAGGAAATTAGCAAATTTTTTAAACGAAAATTATTACATTATTTTTTCCATTATATTTTTTTTTGTATAATATTAATTTCACTATTTCAATTTATCATGTGATGTACTTTATCTTTTCCCGCTGTTTTATGATCTGCTGGATTAGGTGATGCTTCATATATGGTAGTTACAATTTGATCGGATTTGATCTAAGGGAATAAAAAAGGGAATTTAAACATTTTAGGTATTAAACAAAAATTTAAAATCATAAATCATTACTTGCCTCAGTCCATTCTCCCTTAAATCCAAGATATGATATTTTCGTAATTTCATCTCCATAATTTTCGGGAAAATAAAGGGTTATGTTCCTCACATTATACATTTTATTTATTCTTACATAAAAAAATGTGATTAAATAATTAAAAATATTTTTATGTTAATGAAAAAGAAATGGAATTTCAATAAAATAAAGAAAAAAAAATGAATACTTTGTAGGATATGAAATAATTTGACTAGTAGAAGCTAATTCCCATTCTTGAGTTGCAGTGAATGATTCAACTGTATCAAAGTCAACATCTTCTCGATTGATAAAACTATGAAATTAATTAATTGATATATATATATATATTCTTTATACATATATGTATATTGTGTATATAAAAACAAAAGGGTAGAAAATACGTACGCTTTTAATTTTGATGGACATTGATCTCTAGGACCAGATCTGATTGAAATTGACTTCAATTTCACACTTCCTGTGAAACTAAAAAAAAAAAAAGAATATATTTCATATATGTTTGTTATTTTTTGATATAAAAAAGATATATTTAAAACTACTTTTTAAAATAACACTTACGGAATAAAAAAGATTAGCTGTTCATCAGCGTCGCTTTCAACATACTATATAAAGGGTTATAGTAACTTGGTGATTGATTAACCAGTTTAAGTTTACGAATAATCTACTCTTTAAAATCCACTAGATCGCTCTCAAGCCGAACCTTAGTTGTATCATTTCTTTCATGCCAAGGTTTAATCACGTTTTTCCCTGAACCAGGTTCTTTTTCGTTCAAACAGCGAACATTATCGCGGTCGATACGTGAATAGAGTGATTCTTCGGTTCCTCGTTCTGGACCGTCATGACTGTGATCGTGTGAATGGTCATGATCGTGACCATGACCATGAGAATCGTGTTCATCTTTGCAATGACTCATCGTTCTCAGTAATAATGAACAATCAATTTATTTAATGTACAAAGCTCGGAACAATATATATTTAATTGGTTCATCAATCATGCAATTTTTCACGTTTTTAATCACAATTGTACATGGCAATAAAGGAATAACTTGTTCCCTTTTTCTTCTTTTTCTATATAAAAAATCATTATCACTAATTCCTTCCTTTGTTAACCTTTTTTATTTGTTCAAATAAGTTTAAATACTTTTATGATTTTACCACCATTTAAGGTTTCCCTTTCCAAATAATGCGAAAGGGTTTCTATATTATTCTATAGAAAAATACATCACTTTATAATAGAATAAAATTTTTTGAAAACTCCAAAAACTAAAACTTAGATCGTAGATTAATCTGTTTATTTCAATTTATTTATTTTTTGTTTAATTTATTCAATTTAATAATTTAATTAATTTAATTGGGATTTGGTTCTTTAGAAATGAGAAACTATTTAAATTTCATATAAAAATAATCATTAATATAATTTTATGGTAGGCTGGTCTTAAATTTTTTTTGAATTTCATTATAAACTTTTACTGACTATTTTCGTATTTTTGATTTCAGTCATCATAAATCATTTATCATTTCAAATCAATTGTAGTATATATTCAACAATAAAGTAATATAGAATATGAATTCTAATTTAAAATATAATTCAGCTTCTTCTGATGCATCTACCACCAATAAAGGTAGTGGTTTAGCTAACACAATTAATAAAGCTTTCGAAAAGTTATCAATGAAATCAGCATCATCCGTAGATTTAACTTCGACATTAGATGTACAAGTTGATTCTAAAGAATCGAAACAATCTAAAATATCTAAACGAAAATCTGCAACTCTTTCCACAAAAAAAAAAAAATCAATGCAAAGGCCAAAATCTGCTCTACCACCACCTAAACCATCAAAGTCGCAACTGTTTGTAAATTCATCCCCCATAACGTCCAATAAAGCAGGAGATTTAATACCAACTCTCGGACGTTATCCCTCTACACCAAGTTTACGTTTTAAATCCGATGAAAATTCAACTTCTCAATCTGATAAAAATTCCACTTCTCAGTCTGATGAAAATTCTACCTCTCAGTATAGTAATAAAAATTCAGAAAGTTCTTCACAAATTCCACAAATTCTTCCAATTTCTCCAATTTTGCCTTCCATTACACTAACATCGGAAACTTTGCCCGATTCCTCTCCATCGACATCAACCACAACTTCTACGATCCATTCACCAACAACAACTTCAATATCATCAGATGAAATTACTGAAGAGGATTTAGACATTACAGCATTTTTGGCTGCTCCTCGTTTAACTCAACGCGTCAGGCTAAAAAACGGACGAGTTGTTAGTTTTTCTGAAGTTGGTGATAGAAATGGTTTCCCCGTATTTATATTTTTGGGAATGGGTTGTGTGAGATATTTCATTGCTTTCTTTGATGATTTGGCTTCTAGTTATGGTTTAAGATTGATTTGTCCCGATCGACCTGGGGTTGGATTATCAGATGATGTCAAAACGGAAGACCAACATGTTTTAAAATGGCCAGGTGTGTTATTTATTTCATATTATAACTTCTAAATTACACAAAGGGATATATCGTTAAATAAGATATTCATGAATTTAAAATTTCTATTTCTATTTCTCATTATATAATAATATCATATTTTATAGAAGTCATTGAGGAACTTTGTGAAATTCTTAATGTAGACAAATTTTTTATTATGGCTCATAGTGCGGGCGCACCTTACGCTTTAGCTTGTGCCAAAATGATACCAGAAAGATTAGCGGGAACTATATATCTTGTTTGCCCCTGGATTAGTACCACAGTAGCCAATAATTTTAAATGGTTACGATATGTTCCTACACCTATTATAAAACTTACTAATAGTGCCGGAATTTCACTTCAACAAATGCTTCACGGTCGACAACCCTATTCCACCAAACCACAAAAGAATTCAGGGGCATTATCTTCTCAAATGTCAAGTCTTGAAAAAAAACAACAACTAGGTCTTGCCATTCTCAAAGCCTCTTTTGCCGAAAATTTATCTGGGGCTAACAATGATTTACTCATGTGTTTTGAGCGACGCCATTCTTTTGGCTATTCCTATACGGATATTGAACATCCTGTACATGTTTTTCATGGAACAAAAGATGAACGAATTCCCGTGTCAGCTGTCAAATGGATGGAGGAAAGTATGCCCAATTGTAAATTAACATTGATAGAAGGAGGGAAACATTCATTACTTTTACGTGCAGAAATTGTCGATACAATTTTTAAAACAATAGCTGTGCAATTACATGTAAAGGATGAATGTAGAGTATGTAAACTTTCAACTAAATGTTGGTTAATGGAGGAATCTCGATATCTGAAAGCCAATAAAGAATTATTATGAGTAATTTGTAAGGACGTATTTTTTGCCTTTCTTTATTGGATTAGCAAAAAAAGAAAATATTAATAATTTGAATCTAAAAATATTAAATAATTCAATTGCAATCATTTTATTCATTTTACTTTTTATTTTATTTTATTTTTTTTTTGAATAAAGCGTCGCACTAACAATCGATTAATAAACGCCTACAATTGAACCTATAAATTCTTGATTCAAACATCACATTGCTACGCCAAACAAAGGAGGGGGTATTCTGGTATTCTTGTAAATAACCTCAATTCACTTAAAATTTTGTGAAGAAAAAATTACTTGGCGCTCATGAGAAATAAATGTTATAATAAAGTAAAGGTGAAAATGATTTACCCGAGTACACGTTAAAGATAAACTTTGGAACCTTGAAATTTGTTTGTGGCGAAACTAATCCCGAATTTAGCCAATTGAGCCTGGAACTTTTGTCTGGCGGATGCACAATGGCTAATATTAGTAAATATAATTAGTTCTATATGAGCGTCCTTAAAATGTACCCTAGGTATAAATTAAATAGACACCGTGGAAAGTGGAACAGTGATCGCTGAAAAATTTGAGTACGTCATATTTTAATTAAATATTTTATCCACTTTGATCACATTTTATAATTAAAATATCAATTACAATATTAATTAAAATATTCAACGTATTCGTGAAAAAAAAATAATAATAAAAATAAACCCAAATCAATATTAAGAAGAATAATAATCTATTTTCTTCAATTAATTGATCAACTAATGAATAAAATCTAAATAAAGTTAGTTTATCAATGAGAAGTATTTTATACGTAGATATTTTATCCACTTCTATTGTTTCATAAGAAATTCCAGAGGAATCTACAATGATACTAATAGTACCTTGTGGCTGTCGAGTAAGTACTTCTATAAGTTCAACAACCCTATAAGTAAGATAATTAATATACATAAAAAATATTTTTAATACTTTTGAAAGTGGGTATTGCTAAAAGCTCACCAGACAAAATTACATAATTCCTAACCCTAACTTTGCCCGCGTAAATTTAATTTCGCCCAGTGATGAAAATCATCACTCTACTTATTCTACGTGACCATGAATAATGAAGTTCGATCTAATGCATAATTATTCCAGGCGCGTGACGTTTAATAATATCGTGATTAGCTAATACATAAATACATGACGCGTGAATGCGCCAAAAAAAAAAAAAAATAATTCTAATATTCGAATTTCTCTACTAATTCTGACAAATACTAATAATGACACAAGACATTTCACAAAAATTTGTTGAAGCAAATTCACCATTTAATTTGAATCAAGTTTTAGAGGACAAAAAAGTTGCTTGCGATTTTATTGAATGGACATTATTAAGGTACTTTTTTTGGACATTCGCTCCATAATAAAAATATCAAAAAACATATCGTGTGTTATTAAAATTTTTTTGTCTAATAGAATTGATTATCGTTTAGAAGCATTTGATCCACAGAGTATTGGAACTAATTATATATTAAATTTAACTAAAAAACTTGAAAGAACACAAAGTATGTTAAATTTTAAAAAAAAAAAATTTTTTTTTTTAAATTGATTATTTTAATTATTTTTTTCCAGTTCTAGCGCAAAAATTATCATCTATTGGATTATGTAAACCAACAGAAACAGATTTGATTGAGGTATTTTTACAAGAATGAGTCGAATTTCCATTTAATAAGATTTAATTAATGTTTGCCCGATACAATTATATTTTTACAACAAATGGATTATTATTATTATTTAAAGGCAACAGCTCCTCATAATCGTTTATTTCAATTTTATTCAAATCTATTCACTTTGTTAAAAGCTGCTTGTGTTATTAATGATGATGATTCGCAAAGAGTTTCTAATAATGAAAGGTTAGTTATTTTGATATTAATGACGATATATATAAACACCCATATATATATATAAAACCATAAACATTACATAAATTAACGCGAGAAAATTTTTTAGTAAAATGAATGACATTCAAAAATCTTTTGTTCTAATGGATGAATTAACTTTAAACTGTGATAACATACACAAAATTTTCAATAAAGAATTTGAATTATTTCCAAAGGATGTAACCTTGATGATCGGTAAGGCTAAAGATGAAAAGAACAATATTGGGTACATTATCAATTTTATTTTAATTTTTATGAAAATTTGTAATTTTTCAAATATGATCTTATTTTTTTTTAATAATGAAAAAAAAAAATAATAGCAAAGTTGATATAAATGTACTTCAATCCTTCAAAGAACAAGAATTCCAATTAATTCAAAGCTTAAAAGAAGAATTGGCTCGCGTAGAAGGAGAGGTAAGAATTTGGCAAAAAAAAAAAAAGTTGATTTATTATTTACTTAATAATATTATTTTTTTTTTTACTTAGTATCAATACGTAGAAGAAGAACCAAAATCAAATCAGCAAACACTTGATAAATTTTCTCGGGTATCAGAAGAACTTATCTCACAATTAACAAAATTTTCTATAATTCATGATGAAGAAATTGGTCCATGGATTAAAAAAGATTCAATAGAACGAAATGAGAAAAAAGTTATTCAAGGTATAATAAATTTTTATTAATTATCTCAAATTCGTAAGACTTTAACAAATCATTATTATTGAATATATTGACTAGGATTGGGACAACAAACACATGAAGCACGGAATAAATTAGAGAAATTGCATCAAGTCAGTAAATATTAATACTGTACAATTTTCATATTACAATAAAAATTAATCCAAATAATATTTTCATTTTTTTTTCTCTTTATTAGATTCTTAAAGACCTTGAAACTATTCATACATCATGTGAAAATATATTGTCTCATCTTCAAAGTACATTGGAAACACAGGAAACAAGAAATAATTTAATCCAACCGAAGATTTTTAGAATCAATATGCAAGGTGAAACTGGGTCAGAGGCAATTGTAAAATTACAAAGTATTGAAAAAAGTTTAAAGGATGGAATTGTAAGAAGGGAAAGAGGTGGATAATAATATTCGTATCTTGAGTGTTTTACATTGTTGTCTAGAGAATAAATCATACTTTTAATATTAAAAGTTTTAGTTAAATCTCATGTTTTCAATAATTGATTAATGTAGCTAAAAAATCTGATGAAATATATTTAAATATTTTCAACTCCAACGACGGACTATAATTTAAATATATAAATTTCCACAGTAATTTTTCCTAAAATGAAAATTTTCAACACGTGAGTGTGACAAAAGGGGTCAAATTAATACCAATCCCAGTAAACGAAATATACCTTAAGATGTGGTCCGGCTAAGATCGACACTCGTTTTATAATAAAATCCGGGGATAAGTTATTTAATAAAACTATAAATCATCAGTTGCCCTATAGGTAAGTATAAATTGGTACAAAATAGTCATAGATGAAGTTTAGTATCTGCTAAGTATGCTATTGGCAATTGTTTTGTAAAAAGTTTGAAGAATTTTTCAAAAAATAAAAGATACTTTCTTATACATTGAAAAAATCAATTTTTTAAAATTATTATAAATTTACCCCACTTTTTTATAGGCGGATCATGTCTTAAGTTAATGATTCGGGCTAAACCCGAAACCGAAATTGTCCTACCTAGTAAAGTTACACAATAATTTAATCATGTGTAATAAAATAGTCACCTGATAAACGCGATACGTAAGCAAGCATATAATTAAATAAAAATTTCAAAGTATTATATATACATACGACATTGTCAAATATGCAATTAGGAGGGGGAAATGCGAACGGATTACAGAAAGACATTAGACCAATACGTGAAAAACAATATCAATCAGAGTCAATAAAAATCATTGCTGATTATCTAAACGAAGTCGAGTATAAATATGTAGTTGATGAAAGACTTTTTCAAATGCCCACAGCAAAAGAATATCACGCGATTTTCAAATTTGTATTTCAACGACTCGAACCCGGAAGAGACATAGCGAAGATAGAAGAAATTGTAAATATTTTGAGATGGATAAAGTATGTATATATTATGAAAAAAATAAATAAATAAGATTATGAAATCATAACTTATTACTAAAATCAATTAAACAATATTTATTAATATTGAACAATAATAGATATCCTTATTCTCATGAAATTTCAAAATCTTCTTTACAAGCTGTTGGAAATGTGCAAACATGGCCAAATCTTTTGGGTATGTCATTCATTTATGAAGGTTAAAAAAAAATAATTGAAAAAAAAAATAAAAAAATATATATATATAATTAAAGTAAACATTTATTATTGATGTGTTTCATTTAGGTGCACTAAGGTGGTTGGTGGAATTTATAGCTGTAAGTTTTAAAAGTTTAAGTTGAAAATTAAAGAGATCGAATAAAAATAATTATTGATTTCTAAAATTAAATTATCAGAAATTCTTTCATTGACTTTCGCTTAGACATGGGAAACTATCGATCAATTAGAAAAAGAAGCTGAAGAAGAGCCAGCACCATTTAATCCAGACACCGCATTTTTTACATATGTTACTAAAGCGTACAATGTGTTCTTGGAAGGTGAAGATGATTATTCAGAAATGGCAGAGGAATTAGATGCTGCTTATGGTAATAATAATAATAATCAATCAAATTTCATAACTTCCATTTTAATAACTTTTTTTTTTTCAAAAACAAAATAGAACAAAGTAATGCAGACATTGTTGTTCAAACTGCCGAATTACAAAAGAAAGTAGATGAACTTGAAAAGGAAATGAATGAGATGAATGAGGAGGTAGAAAAAAAATGGATTTATACTTGACATACGAATATTTTCATTAATAAATTATTAATAAGTAATTGTTCTGACATTGATAGGATCCCTTGACAACTGTTATAAATGAAAACAATACATTACTGTCAGATATGGCCAAATTCAATGCGTACACAAAACATCTGGAAGATAAAATCAATAAACTTAAAGATTCTATTACCAAGTTAGAAGAGCAAAATCAAGGAGCAGGTTATTAATTTGATCTAATTCCAACTGATAACTTGAATGATCATTTAAATATTCATAAATATAAAAATATATATATATACATATTTATTTATATTATTTATACATTTATTTATTTATATTTATAGAGAGAGATCTTGCAAAAATCGAAGAAGAAAAGGCAGAAATTCAGCAGAAAGTGGACAGTCAACCAATATCACCTGACGATGTTGAAAGAATGCATAAAGAAAGCGAGCAAATAACCAATAATCGTAATTCAATTGCTGCCAAAATGAAAGAATTGGCTAAATTGCAATGGGAGAAAGGATTAGAACTAGAAAAAAGGATATCCGAAGTATTAATAATTTCGTTTATATACTTTTTATTTTTTTTTGATGGCCAATTTTATTAACTTGGATTAAATTCTTTTAGATAGAAAAACAAATTCAATACTATAACACAGGTCTTTATCGTGTTGGGATGTTACCGTCAAGCGCACAATACGCTAAGGGAGAGAACTATGAAATATCTCTTGATACGGATGTGGATCGAATCGATAAAATGATATCATTAGATCTAAGAAATTTTGTCACGGCATGTAGTAGTAATAGTAGTATTAAAGTGTTATTTTTTTTTTTAAAAGTTATAAATATTTTTGTAAAAGAATATTGACATATTTGGATATTTTCATTTCAAAGGTTAAAATTTCAGAAGTTCGAGAAAGTTTTAATTGCGAGTATGATAAAACCCAAGAGCAAATAAATCAAATTAGTGAAGAAATTCATCACATTACTGATGATATTGCCGATAAAGAAATGGATTTGAAAACTTTGGAGGAAAATAAAAGTATACTTACGCGACAATTTGAAGAAGTAAAACAGGTAAATATTTAGAAATTAATCAATCAATTAATCTTATATACATAATCTATATTTGAATTCATAATGTAATGAAATTTTTTTTTATAGCTTGAACAAAATGAAGCAGATTCATTAACAAAAAGATGTGCAAATTTCGAACAAAGGGTTGGCCAATTACGATCTGAAGGAGCATCCGTTTACGTTGAATGGAAACAGAAAAGACAAGAAATTCAAATTCAGTAAGTATAATATTTTTATGTAAAATTTTGTTATTAATGACACTATTAACTTAGAATATTTATTCATCAATATAGATTCGATCGTTGTCAACAAGAATATAATGCAGCACGGGAATCAACTTATAATGAATTTAATCAAATTAAAAATGAACAACTTCGAAATCAACAACATATTTCAAATGTTTTATTAGATTTAAAGAGGTTGTCAGAAAATGAGTTAAATGAAGTAAAAAAATAAAATGACGTAAAAAAATCAATTTATACAATATAATTTTATTTTATTTTATTTATTTACTTTTTATTAAATGAATAAATTTTTATAATCAATCAATTTAAGATATGAAATGAAATCTTAATTAAAAAAATAATTCGGTCTAAACTAATTACTTCAAATAATTTCTATCGTTAATGGATTTTTTTTTGATTAATCGTGAAAAAAATGTGTGAATCTAACGAATTTTCGAATGATTGATTCTATTTACATGTTGATATGAATTACCTACATTTTTATTAGAAAATGAAGTGGATGAATGGTGAAAAAAGTTATAAACACTACGACATTAAGTCGGACTATACAATTTTTATATTAATTTTAACATATCAATTAATTAAACGATTATAACCGTTTTTTCGCTGATTAAAAGCTATATTATACAACCTGTTGATGAAAAACAGGCATCGAATAAAATGCAATTGTTGTTTATTATTGTTATTGTTGAGTTATTATTATTATGATGATATTTGATGATATAATTGATGATACACTATTGATGTTATTGTTTGTTGTTATTGTTATTGTTGTTGTTGTTGTTGTTGTTGCTGCCGTTGTTGTTGATGTTGTGATAATATTCTAGCTTGTTCGATCACTCGACGTCCTTCTTCTTTAAGAACATTATTTGATGTACGATAATCTTCATTGACTAATCGTTCACATAAATTAGTCAAAGCAATAGAACATGGTTTCTAATTTGAAAATACCACCGATAGAACAAATAGAACCAATAGATATATTAATATAAATTATTTATTAAAATCTAAAAAATAATAAATATATATAAATATATATACAGTATATATAAATATATATATCTATCTATCTATCTATTTATCTTCTTACCTCTGCTTCTCTCTTGATAATTTCATTATATTTATCAAAAACTACTTTTCGTTTCTTATAAAATTTTAATGCAATTTTTGTTGCTAATTAAGTGAATGAAATGTAATCAAAATGTTAACAATGTAATAATAATATTTTTTTAATGAAACCAATAACATTGAAAAAAAAAAACCATACAATCTAATTCTGTTGTCTGATCATTATTTTTCATATCTTCATCAGGATAATCAAATATATGATATGGTAAAAGTCTTGCAACTGCATCCTGATAAGATCGGAATGGAGTTTTATAATCTGGTTGTATGACTGACATTTGATCGGCTTTTATAGCTGCATCAAATCTATGAAAATAATTTCCATTGTTTTTTTTTTATTTATTTATTTATTTATTTATTTTATTTTATTTTTTTTTTTTTAACATTTTAATGTTGTATTTTACTCACAACATATGAAATTTTGAGAATACCTTTGAACAACATCTGCGTGATGTTGATATTCTTCCATTGTACGCTCAGTTCGTTCCTTATCTGTTACAGAATATGATCTCTTTACTCCTTGAGGTATCGTAGAATTAATTGAGTGCATACCAGAATAATATGATGGCATCGTTAAACGTGAAGCAAGTGTCGCCGCATTTGTCGAATTTGTCACATTTGTCATATTTATATTTGTCACATTTGTTACACTAGGGTAGTAAGTTCCGGTTGGATTCATAGGTATAGGTTGAGTATAATATGATTGGGTATAAGATTGATTATACGTTGATTCCTCTTCATCCATTACTGATCTTTTTTTAGAATATCTTCCAGTTTTATTATATCTCCTTGTAGATCTTAATGAGAGATCATTAATCATTTTAGTAGGTCCTTCTATTGATGATGATCGGATGAATGGAGTGTTCGTCAGTTGTGAAGTTGAAAATGATGTTGGTGCCGTTGTTATTCCGGAATATGATGATGATGATGATGATGTTATAGGATTTATTGAAGGTTGCGGTCGAAGAGATGAAGCAGGAGCAATTAATAGTTGTGGGCGGGCTGAAGTTGAGGGATTCGTAACAGCGGGTGCAATTGATGGTTGTGATCGAATTGATGAATTAATTGTAGTAACATTTGATGTGCGAATTTGTGATGATGATGTTGTAATAGGAGATTGCTGAGTTGCGGGTGCCAATTGTGGTGGTGGTGGTTGTTGTTGTTGTTGTTGTTGCGTCTTAATAGAAGATGATACAATTGTTGGCGTACTAGATGAGGAATCATGAAGTGCTTTTATTTCTCTTAAAAGTTTTTCTCTCTGTTCATTTGATAACGAATTAACAGACATATTGTCCGCTAATCTATAAATGATTTCTCCCTTTTTCTTATACATTAAAACCGAAAGACCTGCCAAATTTAATGTCGTAATTTGTTCATCTTGATTTTGTTGTATTGACCCTCGAGGTTCATGACCTCGAGAGTTAGAAGGTGCATTTGCATTAGAGGCTTCGTACTCTTCATCTTGATATGACATAACTTTGGCCATTATTTGTTTGTTTGTTATATATTAAATATAAAAAATACTATAAAAAAGATTCATATTAGACGTTATCTATTCCTTTTAAAAGAAAAATATAACTTTATATGGTTGATTGAGGCCATTTTATTAAGTTTCCGAGGGGATATATGTGTTTCTATTTATAACTCGGATTTATTTGAGCAAAGAAAAAAAAAATTCAAAAAAAAAAAATATATATATATAATTTTTTTTTTATTCTACTTTTAAAATAAATAATTTATATTTATATATATTTGAATTAAATCAGAAATTTTTAAATAATATAGAAAAGTAACAGAAGAAAAATAAGTAATGAAAAAATAATGAAAAATTCGAAACTATCTTAAACTAAACTTTTAACAACTACTTTTTAAAACTAACTTAAACGTTGATGACAGAAAAAGAAATATAGTCATAAAATTTTATATCGTACCTTACGTTCCAGTTGTTTTGGGAAAAAGTAAAATTTGAGGGTTTTTTTGGATTACTACTAACAAGTGTGAGTAGTGAATGATCGATTTCGATTAGTACAATATTAAAGCAATATAATATAATTTTTGGGGGGTTGTTTTCTTATCTCCTCATCAATCCCAAATTTTATTGGGAAATTTGTGCACGTGAAAAGCGTGATCTTTGATTTTTTGATGGATAAATTTTTATATTTTTTTTTTTCCTACAATCATCATACTCTCTCCACCCAAAGATGGATCCTTATGAACAAATCAATCTCCCCGATAATGAAAATGTTGAAGTAAACCCCGATGATTTACATTTATCCAATTCACCACCTCCAATTGACTTTTATGGTGTACTAAATATTTCAAAAGAGGTACATTCCTACAATTCATGCATTTTGAAAAAAAATTAATGATATCTAAACACTGACCTTTTTTTTCCTTAAAAAAAAGTCCACTGAAGAAGAAATTAAGGATTCATATAAACGTTTATGCAGAATATTTCACCCTGATAAACACGTTGATCCGGAAAGTAAGAAAGCCGCGGAGTCCAAATTTCAAGTAATTCAGAAAGCTTACGAAGGCAAGTGATTTTTTCGAGGTATAATTTATCCCTCCTATGATTTTTTTTTAAAATTTTATTGTTTAATCCTAATAATAACAAAATGATTCATATAATAATTTTTACAGTTTTAACGGATCCTACTAAAAGAACTATTTACGATATGTTCGGTGAAGAAGGCTTAAACACTTCATGGGAAATTGGGACGCGTTATAAAACTCCTCAAGAGGTTTTGATTCATTTCAATTTTATAACCATTAGATTCTCAAGTTATTCCACTCACACATTGTGAAAAAATCTTTTATTTCAGCTAAGAGAAGAATTTGAAAGTCAAAATAGAATGAAAAGAGAATTGGAAGTGGAAAACTTGGTTAAATCAAAGGTAAATAATTTTTGATTACAATTTCTTTTCTATCGAACTTAAATAAAAAAAATTATTTTTTATATAGGGTGATTTCCAATTGAGTATAGACGCTACTGAAATATTTGATCCATACGACAGAGGATCTGGTCGTAAAGTTCGTAAACCCGATTTAAGTCTAAAAAGTGCTTACGAAAATACGGAAATTACGCAACTTTTTATGAAGCATTCATTCGAGGTAAGAAATTAATTAATAATAATTATTGATAGTAATTATTTGATTGATTGACTAATTTTAAATTGACTTTTTATTTTATTTTATTCTATTCTATTTTATTTTAAGACTCAATTTCAACCAGAAACACGTGCATCAATTGTTGGTCAGACTATTTTACGTAATGGAGTTGGCGGTGGTAACATTGTTGGGAGCTTGCGTCACACATTTTCACCAAAATTTTGGGCTGAAGTATGTTGAAAAGATACCGTGTATTTTATTTACTTGCGCTTTGTTAGTAAAATATTTTCTACAAGTTTGATGAAAAAGCTGGACGAAATCGTCGTATTAGGTTGGATCGTCAATAATTCAACCAAGAGTTATGAGCGTAAAGGCAAATTACAGTTTTGATCCAGATAGGTATAATAATAATAATTATTATTATTATCTGTGTTAGAATTATTTCTTATTTTTTTTTCTCAATAATAATAATCATAATAATAATAATAATAATAATAATAAATTATTTGCGATTTCAGCTTTTTATCAGTCACATCACATTCTCATACCATCTATTCACCACCGAGTTTGTTCTTTACTGGTGGTAGAAGGCTTGGAACACACATATCAGGTTATCTCACTTACAAGACTGGTGCATGGAGTTTAGGTCCTTGGGGACGACAAGGTTCGTTTTCACGACGTGATAAGTCAGCTGTGGCTATTGGTCTTAATAGTACCAAAGAAAAATCAGGATATGCGTTTGAAATACAGGTTAAAATTTCAGAATTTAAATGTTTTGAATAAGCACAAATAATGAAATATATTCAAATTGACTTACTTAAATAATAGACCGGTTTAGTAGAATCACATATTACTGCAAACTATAATCGGAAATTACTTTCCAATTATCATGTTAAGGGAGCGACCACTTTATCAACTTCCAGGTTTTAAATGGATTTTTAAAAATTTTTTTTTATATAAATTTTGTCATGAAATTTCTTTGAAACTTATTATGATTGAAATCTTTGGTAAAATAAAAGTGGCCTTACAACTACTATTCTTGGTGAACGTAAAGTCACGGATAATACGAAAGTCGCACTTGCAATAGAATTCGGAATTCCCAGTGGGATCTTATTTAGATGCAGGTAAGTTGTATATTCTGAAAAAATTTTTGTGTTGGAATTTCTATTAAAAAAAAAGGACCTATTTAAAAAAAATATTAATCATTTTTGATATTTAACTCAGGTTATCTCGTTTAGGACAAAGAATTACTATACCAATTCAAATTTCTTCGGAATTTAATCTTAAACTTATATTATGGGGAACATTATTGCCCGTTATGACGATAGCAGTTGTTGAACAAGCAATATTGGTACCGCGACGCAAGAAGAAAGCTTCAGAGTAAGAAAAAAGTATTTTTTTTCTAGATTATCATCATTAATAGAAAATTCGACAGAATTTTATATTATATTTTTAATTTTATTTAGAAAATTGGCTCGATTACGAGAACGTCATGCAGAATATATTTCTAATCGCAAAAGCGATGCTGAAGAATCGATTCAGCTCTTAAAACCTTCCGTGGAACGTAAAATAGAAGCGGAGAGAGAAAAGGAAAATGGTCTAATTATATTAGAAGCTTGGTATGGAAATCTCTCACGTATAAAGGATATAACATCAGAAAATCTGCCAAAAGAAATACTTGATGTAAGGATACCGGTTCAAGCATTAGTACACGAATCACAATTGACCATTCCTGGAGGTTATTCTAAGGTGAAAATTTATTTTATTTATTTTTATTTTTATTTTTTTTATTTGAGTTAAAACTTAATAATAATTAATAATAACGAATAATTGATAATAATTGATAATAACTGATAATAATAATTGAAATATTATTCTTAGTCAAATATCATGGGTTTTTATGATCCGTGTATGGGCGAACCCAAGCAATTAAAAATTAAATATCAATTTCAACGTAAGATACATGAAGTCACAGTTGATGATTCTCTTCCTGTGGCCTGCCCATTAAGATGTAAGTTAATTCCGTATTCTTTTCATATCTCATACATTTTCATTTTATTAATTTGTGATCATTTCTTACCTATTGCAGCTCATATTGTTTCGAATAATTAATAATAAATTTTAAAAAGAAATAAAAGAATTGTACCATTTATTCTCTTTAATTTAAAAAAAAAATGTTTATCATGAGAATTCATGTAATAAATTATTGTAATTACGCATTTATCATATGTGATAAAAACAATAAAATATAATTTTGCTAAAATAACGTTTTAAGTGAAAGTATTATAAATTATAAATTTATTTCCTTAGTTTCAGTGAATAAAATTATCTACATGCGTTAAACAATTAGATAATTTTTAATTTTTTGGTCATAATTCCATAAATCCATCTAAATCCATAGCATATCACAAACTTAAATTTGGGTAGATTTTCAAAATATAGCATCCATTATCAATCAGTACACTTAGTACGCTTTTTCCTTTAGGTGACATCTGTCCAAGTAGAAACAATACCATTTATAGGTTAACTTTTCACCATGTCCGAACAGTATGCAGGTGCTATAGGGATTGATTTGGGCACAACATACTCATGTGTTGCAGTATGGGAAAATGAACGGGTTGGTAAGTTAAATTAAACTAAACCGAAGATTCAAATATTCAGAGAAATTAATTTTTTTTTTTTTTTTTTTTTTTTTTTTTTTGATTTTATACAGAAATTATTGCTAACGAACAAGGGAACCGGACAACTCCTTCATATGTGGCTTTTACCGAGAACGAGCGTCTTATAGGTGACGCGGCTAAAAATCAAGCTGCTATGAACCCAAAAAACACGATATTTGACGCGAAGAGATTAATAGGTCGTCGAATAGATGACCCTGAAGTAAAATCTGATTTAAAACATTGGCCGTTTACTGTCACTGATAGGGATGGGACGCCCTTGATTCAAGTTGAATATCAGGGTGAAAAGAAATGCTTCACAGCCCAAGAGATATCATCAATGGTATTGGTTCGAATGAAGGTAATAATTTTTTTTTTTTTTTTAAATAATATGATGCAAACTAATTTATTCCTTTTTGTTTAAACGAGTTAAGAAAAATTAATTTGTATTAATTTTATATTAGGAAATTGCAGAAGGCAAACTTGGTAAAAAGGTCGAAAAGGCAGTAGTAACCGTTCCCGCTTATTTTAATGATTCCCAACGTCTTGCCACAAAAGATGCTGGTAAAATTGCAGGTTTAGATGTACTCAGGATTATAAATGAACCTACGGCAGCCGCAATTGCCTATGGTCTTGATTCGAAAGAGACAAAAGAAAAAAATGTACTTATATTTGATCTTGGTGGTGGTACTTTTGATGTTTCTCTTTTGAATATCTCTGGTGGCGTTTTTGCTGTCAAAGCCACTGCTGGTGATACACATCTCGGAGGAGAAGATTTCGATAATAATCTTCTTGAATTTTTCAAACAAGATTTCAAGCGAAAGCACAAGCATGATATTTCTGATGATGCTCGTGCCATACGTCGACTAAGAAGTGCTTGCGAACGTGCAAAACGTGCATTGTCTTCTTTAACTCAAACAACAGTAGAAGTTGATTCATTGTTTGAGGGTACCGATTTCCAAGCCACCATCACTCGTGCAAAATTTGAGGAGCTAAATTCTGCGCAATTTAGTTCTACTCTTGAACCAGTTCGTAAAGTTTTAAAAGATGCTAAAATGGAAAAAAAGGAAATTCATGAAATAGTTCTTGTTGGTGGTTCAACTCGTATTCCTAAAATTCAATCCCTTCTCCAAGATTATTTCGATGGAAAAGAATTAAATAAATCTATTAATCCAGATGAAGCCGTAGCATATGGAGCTGCAGTTCAAGCTGCGCTTCTTACTAATCAAGCTAATAATCAGAAAACACAAGATCTTCTGCTTTTAGATGTGGTACCACTAAGTTTAGGAGTGGAAACACAAGGTGGAGTTATGGCTGTAGTTGTTCCCCGAAATACTCCAATCCCTACTATCAAAAAAAAAGTATTTACCACTGCCGAAGATGGACAAACCATTGTAGAATTCCCGGTTTATGAAGGGGAGCGACCTATGTGTAACGATAATAACCTACTTGGTGCTTTTGAATTGTCTGGTATTCCACCCATGCCACGTGGAGAAGCCGAACTTGAGTGTACTTTCGATATTAATGCAGATGGTATTCTCAAAGTTACAGCAAAGGACCGAGCAACTGGCAGGAAGGCTAATATTACAATTTCAAATTCGGCTGGTCGATTATCGGCGACTGATATTGAACGGATGATTGCAGAATCCGAGAAATTTAAAGAGGAAGATAAAAAGAGCCAAGAAAGAGTGGAAGCCAGACAAGAACTTGAGAATTATGTTTATCAGGTATATTGATATTTCGGATTTATAAATAGCACGAACATTCTACTCAAATTTAATTATGATTTCTTTTTTTTTTTTTTTTTTACTAAAGATTGAAAACACACTTAACGAACCTAATGTGGCTATGAAATTGAAACGAAATGATAAAGAATCTATTGAAAATGCACTTTCAGGTTTAAATTATTTTTTTTTTTTTTACAATTTTTTTTACAAATTTTATTCCCTAACACACTTTTTATTATTTTCAGAGGCACTTGAATTTCTTGATCTTTCTAATGATGCGTCAATTGGCAATGATGAAATTAATGCAACAAGAAAAAAACTACAGCGTAGTGTAACTCGCGCTTTCGCTTCATTAAATCGTTAATTACATGAATTACATGGTAATTTTCAAAAATCTTTTATACAAATATAATTAAAATTTATCCTAAAAATAATTTTTTTTATTAACGAACAAAAGTTTTTTAGACAAGAAATGCATGATATCCACCAAATATAAATAGAAATCGTAAAAAAATTTTAATTTATTGAAAGAAATATTTTCCATAAATTGAATTTGGTATATGGTATAAATTTAGTGATTTTTTATATTTATATGTTATCTTGTCACATCTAGACGCATTAAGATTCAATAGAAAAAAAATATAGGATTGTTAATATTTCCGCAACGCTAAAATATTTTTTCACTATAAATCATATAATTCACAAAAAAAAACCCCCCCAAGAAACCTAGTGATATTATTACGAGAATATTTTCAATTAATATTTTTTTCAAAGAAATTGTTATTACTTTGATAAATATTACCTTTATTTAAACATATATTGATATATGGGAACTTTGCAAAATCTCATAATGAATGATTCTAGATTCTAAATTCTAATATCAGATATGATTCTAATGTGGTTTTTTCTATCCCATATTTTTATGAAGATTCATTTGTCTTCGATCTTTTAACACCATTAGCAACTTTAGACCTGCAAGTTGAACATTCTTCTAATGGTTGACAATAAACTAGGTTTATCATAAATTTGATTAAAAAGTTAAGGAAATTATTATTCATAAAAAAAAATTTTAACCAAACAAATAATTTCAATAATTTTTAAAGGATACTTGACAAACAAACTGAACACACATATCCAATATTAATTGTTTTTTTATGACAAAAGCAAGCTGCACCAAAATCAACTTTTTCATCTCCTGGTAAACAAAGGTGTCTTCGGACAAATCTATCAGGAAGAAAAGTTTTCTATGAATTGAAAATACATTCATAATGTTATTAGATTTATTAAATTCTTTCATAAAAGAAAGTCTCGAATTATTATTACCATCAAAAAATGCAAAAATCCTCGAGATTGATCTATAGAAAGCCTAAGATATCTCCCTCCAGTTATATGTGATGCTTGCTGTAGAAATACTGAATTATCACTTTCTGAAATCTTACAAACATCTATCGGAACTCCCTAAATAAATTAATAAAGTTAAAAGTCATTTCATTATAAAAAATATATATATATATATTTTCTGTTATTTCATAAATAAAGATTTACCAATTTTTGTGCAGAAAAGATGCAATTCATAATGGATATGTATTGATAAGGTGAGTCCGGCGATACAGAAACTATTAATATCCGTGACTTTATGTGACCAATTTCATCCGATTTGGTGATCCTGTTGATGTCTATTATATTGGGTATTATTAACACTAAGGAAGCAAAATACAACATTTGTCCAATAAACACAAAGGATAAAAAATAAAGGATACAACATAAGGCCAAAGAAAGAGCTCCTGCCATCATTGAGCTCACTGTCGATAAAATTTCACATAATTGATAATTAAAAAAAATGAAAATTCCAACATTTAAAAAAAAAATATAAATCGGATAATTTATTTAAACCTTTATCTGGGCATGATTTTAAAGCTTCATTTTCAAACAATGCTTTCATATTTGAAGTCACTTGATCATCGATAACTCGAAATCTTTGATACATATTTGAATTGCTTGATTGATCTGAGTCACCATGAGACCTTCGAGTCTTCTGCCTTGTGGTTGGAATGGGATAAAGGAATTTACTAAAAGCAACAATAAAAGAAAAACAAAAGAAATACAAATGTTAAAGAAAATTTTCATTAATATTCGTAGTAATTGAATCAAAAGTTTTTTATTGATAATAATTATACCTAACACCAATGTGACTTGCAATAACTGCTACTTCATTGTCATGTTTTAATGCTAAATGAGCGTTTATAAACGCCAGAAGTTGACGTAGAATCTGCTGTAAAGTCAGGCATTTTCCCATAGTTTGTTTATTTGCTACCTTTGTCCAATTCATTGGATTTGTATCAATAATCAAGACAAATAAATTTGCGTCATCTGATAGAAAATCGATAAAGAATTACAAAAGTGAGTTTAAATGTAAACTAGAATAGATAAGGAATCTACTGTTAACCTTCGTTCACAGTTACTGAATCCTTTATGGAGCTCATGTTGATAAATTCTATTTATTTTATTATGATCGGGTAGATATAATTTTTGCTTTAAATAATTTATTTTAAAAGTTTGATTTTTAAATGTGCTCACTTGTGTAACTAAAGTTGACTACATATACAAGGGTACACCGATCGTTTGCTTTGTGCCTCAAGAAATCAAGAAATCCAGTTTTTGGATGGCCTGACAGGCACCACGTTTTAAACTTATGACTCGAATGTTTTTTTTTTGCCTTTCATGATCTCTAAATCACAATCAAAATAATATCTGATATTGGAATTTTGCGTTAACATCATAATAATTGCAAAAATCTTCATTTCGTCATTTCGATCCTTTTTTGTATGCTCGAATTTTTACTATTCTTGGCAATGAGATAATTACACATTAGAGATATATTTCTCCACTTCTATAATTGGAGGTCGTTTACATCACGAGATTTTCCGTTGGCTTTGGCCATGCAAAAAAAAAAGTGAAAAACACGAAAAATACAAGAAACATATCTTAGTGCATTGATAAAAAGTGTCGAGGAGGCAATTTTACGTATAATATCTACTTAAATCCTAATCCTAACTAACTCTCATTCTAACATTTATTAATTTCATGATGTACTTGGCTTTAGCCATCCCCTATAATTGTAACTCGTTTCTTCCATACACATGATGACCTTTCTTACTCCATTGTTTGGTGTAATATTAAATCTTTCAATTAACCCACGTGGATGGTGTAATACAAATCAAAGATAAAAAATTTTTAGATCTTTTATTTTTTTCTTACTTATTTAAAACGAATATGGCACAAACAATCATATAAAAATTATGACACGAATAAATAGTATTTCAAATATTAGGTGTAGACACGGTTCTTCATCAAAAGTTAGTTGTCAATTTTTTCCTCGTCTTACATCAAATGAATTAATAAATTCTTGTAGAATGTTTGATAACTCGATACTTATAAAATCCACTATGCCATTTCTTTACCCTTCATTATTTCATCACAATTCTATACGCCATTTACATGAATCAAATTATAATCTATCATTCTCTAATTGTTTTTTGTCATCTAGAAAATTATCGACAAAGAATGATAATAATTGCAATAATAGAATAATTACCAATGACACATATAATAGAAATTTCTTACCCAAAAATATTAAAAAATTTTCTGAAATACAAATGAACTCTTTATACAAAGAACGTTCTGAACTTATTAGAAGATTACAAAAAATCCGGAAACAAGGCAGACTTTTTGAAAAAAATAGAAAAATCGGTAGAGATATTTCTAAACAACAAGAACATAAAACTCAAAAAATAACTGAACAATTGAAAATTATCAATCAAATCATTACCTCTCAACAAAAATACGCACATATATCACCCAAGTATGCAAATCAAAAAGAAATTGTTGACTTGACTGTTCGGTTGAAGGATACCAGGACACCGAAAGAGATTGAAGAAAAAACTTTGCAGTGGAAAAGAAATGTTGATAGTGTTCCATTGAGATTAATCAGAACTTATTTGTCTTCGGGCTATAGTAAAAAGGATTTTAGAAAGGTTTATGAAATCTTTGAGGAATTATTGTATAATTCTGGTGATTTCAAAAACGCTTCATTGAATGATTTACAACGACTTGCGGCTTATTTTGCAAAAATACATACTCCATATGCTATTTCTGTGTTGAAAGCAGCATTAAACAATGGATTTGAACTTACATATAATGATTATCATATATTGCTTATCTCATTTAGAAAGATTAAAGATCAAATAAGTGTAGTAAGAATTTTCCAAGAAATGAAAGAGAAAAAGTTTTTATTGCAGGCTGAAGATTATAATGAAGTTTTAAGATGTTTGATGAGCAAAGGTTCTAAAAATATAGATTTGGCAAAGATATATTTGGCAGAAGCAAAATCAAAATACTTTAGATTAAACTGTGATACTTATGTAACATTAATTGATGGATTCATAGAAAATAAAGATGTGTTAGGTGCAGGTCAATTATTTGTGAATTTTGTAAAAGAAGGATTAGCTGCACCAAATGTATTTCTTCCCAAAAAATTTAATGCAAATTTAAGTAACAATAAAAGTAATAACAATGATAATGAAAATAATATTAGTAATAATATTAATCATTCAGAAACAATTTTAATGCCATTATGGAAAAGATATTTGTTAGAAGAAATCTATAATATATTTATTCAAACATTTATTTATTACAAAGATCTAGATAAAGCAAAAAAATTTTATAGAAAATTGCTTAATATCAATTCATCTCCAGATTTTGAAATAGTTCAAATAATAATTGAATCATGTTTAAATAATAATGAAGTAATGGCTGCAAATAACTTGCTAAAACATACCAATACATCAAATATTGCATACCTTTATGCACAGGTACTTGAATATTGTACAAAATATAAAAAATTCAAATATCTTTGGATAACTTATGTACAATCTTTAAATAAACAAATACAATTACCTGAGAGCATTTATAAAAAATTAATTATAACATATTGTCAAGAAGGATATTCACCTGATGTGTTAATACTTTATAAAGAAGCAAAATCTTTAGGATACTTTTGTGAAAATCTATTTATTCATAACTTAGTGGCTCAAGTATTGGTATTTAATGAACAAATTGAACAAACACACCAAATTTTATTAGATATTCAAAAATTAAAATTAAAACCAAATATGGATACATATAGAATTATAATACAGTTGGCTTCAATACAAAATGATTCAAAAATTGCAGAAGAAGTGTTTAAAGAAATTCAAAAAAAAAAATTAGGAGTAGATCATTTGACATTTAAATATTTAATAAGATGTTTTTGTACAATTGGAGAATTTGAGAGAACCAAAAGAACTATTAATTTAATGCAAAAAAATTATATGAAACCAAACATTAATGATTATAATATTCTTATAAAAGCTTATGGAAATGGAAGTAAACTAAATCAAAATAATCAAGATAATACAAAAAGTTTTACAAAATTTTCAAAAGATTATATAACAGAAAAGGTATTGGAAATATTTAATATTATTCATAATTCAAATATAATTCCCAATGATGAAACTTATTATATATTGATTGAAATTTTTACAAATATTGGTAATTATGAAATGGCTACTAAAATATACAATTCAATGAGTAAAGTTTCAATTCGACCTAATCTTGAAATATTTCATATTATTTTGAGAAATGTAATTAAAACTCAAGGTCTAAATAATGGAGTAGAAATATTTTGGGATCAAGTAGATGCAAATATTTTTAAATCAATATCAACAAAATATGTAATACCTAATTATTATACATGGAATATGATAATGGAATATGCATTAAAAGAAAATAATGTTCAGGTGGTAAAGAGTATTTATAATGGAATGTGGGAAAGAGGGATGAAAATGAAAGAAGTTAAAAAATATGAGGAGATAATAAAATTATTAGTAAAAAAGAAGGAATTTGAAAAGGTAGAAGAAATAATAGAACAAATGAATATAATAAGAATTGAAAATGATGAAATAAATAGAGGATATTTAATAATATTAGATGAATACATGAAATTAAAAAAATTTGAAAAAATTGAAATGATATGGAAAAAATTGAAAGAGGAAAAAGAAATAAAAGGGATTAGAAAAATAAGTAAAGATGTTTACAATTATATACTTAGATTATTTGTTGAAATGAACAATAAATATGAAGTAAAAAGGTTATGTGAAGAGATGATTAAAGATGGAATTAAAATTGATTCTGTTAATTTTGAGATTTTGAGTTAATTTGATAATTAAAGTTGAATTATTTTATTTATTATATTTATTATTTCTATAATATTTATAATATTTATTGCATTTATTATATTTTTGATTTTGAAAAAATTTGCTTATATTATAATGAAAATGGTTAAAAATCAAATTACTACATATAAAAAAAAAATTCTTTAATGAGATTTATTTTTTGATATAATATGAATATATTTTGTATTAAATTGTGTTCAATTCATTATTGAAAAGATATTAATTCAATAATTATAAATTTAAATTCATTCTTAATTTCAGGAAAGTTTATAATATAAAAAATAAATTAATTATAAATGATAACATTCATTCATTTCACACGTTTTAACATTGTATAAAGTTTTTTTATAATAACAAACATATTTAACCTTTAATAAATTCGACAATTATAAATAATATAAAAGGAAGAAAAGTAACTACTAAAATATAATCACTTTATAATTTCTTTTCATTTGTACTTCGAAAAATAGAGCAAAGAAAAAATAACAATACAGTCATAACTCCTAAACCATCACTCCCATCACCTCCATCACCTCTAAACACCACCAGAAAAAACTGATAAAAGATTCCTTTCACTTGGTCTTCGTTCATATTCCTTTTCACTTAGTCGAATTTAAAATCTATTACTAATCTTTTACAAATTTCTTGGATAACATTCATCTTTCCATATAACAATTTTCTAGATCTTGTATTGATAATGAATTATATCAATTCTGGCACAAGTAGCTCAAAAAATTAGGCATAGTTAAATATCATATTTTATTATGTATTTTTTGCAATATTATTTAAAGATATCTAACTTATTCTATGGCTGAAAATAATAATACGATTCATTTATCAGGCATTGTGATAAATTTCTTGGAAATTTGGAAAACATCAACAGAAGATAATAACAAAGTGGAATCAACTCTCCAAGAAATTCGAAAAAAAATAAAGTTCCCACCATATTATCAATATGATAAACTCGATAAATCCCATTCTTCTGTCATCTTTTATTTGAAATTACAAAGTATTTTTCAACCCTAATCTATTACTTTGTTGTTTTAAAGACCAATCAGTATGCTATAATGGATGAAATAAATCAATACCATCACTACATTCCGAGATTTATTCTACGGAACTTTGCTATTGACAATTGTGAGAGGGTTTTTGTAAGTAATAAGAATAATAAGAAGATTTCTAATCAGCAACGAAAATTTTGACTAAAGAAAAGAAAAAGGAGAACTTCTCCAAACTTATAATAGGGCTAAAAATGAACTGGGATTCTCTAAAATTTCAAGAACCTATGGATATGAAAATATTAATCATGAAGACACTTTGCATGTGGAAAAAAAACTAGCAAAACTTGAAGAGCATTCATCAAAAGTAATCAGAAATATTATTGAGACATCTAAAGGAGAAAACAATATTATGTTACTCAGGAAATATCTTAGAGATCTATGCAAGTTCTTCTTCATTATGGACTATTGAAAACCCCATCAGCGGAATCAGTTTATTGATAAAAGGTTTGATCCTATGACCCAGTCAATGGTAGAAAATTTTATTAAAGAGCATAATTTACAAAATTCTCAAGTATGGTTACAGAACATCCGTGAAATACTAGAGACCTTGCATGAAGGTGTCAAAGATAACCCACGAATCTTTGAATTAGATAGGTCAGATTACAGAACACATATGATCGATTGTTTTTTCGCAATTTGACAAGCTGGTGAAAATGATGAGTTATAATGGAATCTTTGAAATCAGTAAATTTTTAGGCTTAATATTACGTAATATTACACCATTTACAAAAAAAATCCATTTTTGACTTTGCTCGCAATTTACGAAACAGGGAGCGATTTTCTACTAAGTTATTTCTAAAATGGATCGAAAGCTTTGGTTCCTGGCTACATGTAAATATATGTTTTATTCCTGTAGCTTCGATATTCATCAAGATATTCCGTGAAAAATTTTGCAAATAAATTTACATAAAATTTTGTAATATTATGACTATACATGTTCTCAAAATTGATTTTAGATTTTTGGACTATTTTGTCTTTTTGAGAATCTATTCTATATATGGATATATAAAAAATATTTAGTTAAGTGTATCTTTAATCAAGAAATTTATCTGTGTAGTCAACAAATTTTGGATTTTAAATAAAATAATTTCATCTTCTATAAAAAACTATTTTGACTTTTTTGTAATTTCAGGGTTCCAAAATAATTTTGCATGCAAGTATAATTACGATACTTATAGAGATTTTTGAAAATTATCAAAAATATTCATCAAGAAATTTTTCGGGGCGTAAATTTCCGTAATACAAACGGGACCCACGGAAATTTACGCCCAAAAATTCAATTTTTTTGACTTTGGTCGCAATTTACGAGACAGGAAGC